CCAAATATTTGTGTATTATTGTAAACAAAAAGACAAATTAAGTCATATTTATGGATTTAATTAAGATATCAGGATGATCTAAGTATCATAATGTAGCTTTTAAAGCCAAGAATCTGAAAATGTCATTAAGTCATTTTGACCAAATTTGACCTAATCCTCATTTTGATATGTTGGGTCACATATATATAAATGAATAAATGAATAAATTATATATACACACATTTCCTTGTGTTGTTTTTACATTTCTCTGCCAACTGAGTAGATTAAAGATTAATGTTTAGTAGAAAATAAATAAACAAAGGCAAGTAGGAAAATATTTATCTGTGCCTTTATTTTTAAAGTGGAGGAGTTAAAGTATCTTGGGGTCTTGTTCACGAACGAGGGAAGAATGGAGCAAGAGATGGATCTCCCTTGGAGATAGGGTGAGAAGCTTAGTCATCTGGGAGGGACTCAGAGTAGAGCCGCTGCTCCTCCATGTCCAGAGGAGCCAGATGAGGTGGTTCATCTGCTTAGGATGCCTCCTGGACTCCTCCCTGGTGAGGTGTTCTGGGTACGTCCCACTGGGAGGAGGCCAAGAGGAAGACCCAGGACACGCTGGAGGGACTATGTTTCTCAGCTGGTCTGGGAACACCTTGGGATTCCCCCGGATGCGCTGGCCCAAGTGGCTGGGGAGAGGGAAGACTGGGTCTTTGCTTAGGCTGCTGCCCCCGAGACCTGAACCGTGTTTTATAAATCCACTCAACTATGACTCTACAAACGCTGTGTTGGTACAAGATTCATTCAAAATAACTAAAATGACCTGTTTGAGTTGATACTGGATGTAAACAGTAGAAAACCTCTGAGAAAATWAACAGAGAATTGAATTGTTCCTCTTGAATGTGAGGTCAGAGATATGAGACGGGCTTTTTCAAGGGAGCCAAATGGTTGCATGACTATGAACAGTATGTAAGGATGTAGGCTGTACCACGTGGCTTGTCAAGCGCAGTCCCCTTCCTTCCTGACTTCCTGTYACCCACATTCAACGGCTGCATTCCTCCCCTTTGTTCTTCTTTGTGTTAGTGGAGAAATGAAGGAGGAACACGTCTCTGCATCTGATAAGGAAAACATGAGGAAATCACAAGGAGGAAATGACTCTCAGTTGTCTGCGAAAACATTATTAATTTTAGGAAGTCATTGAAAAGATTTGGAATATTCTCAAATCTCTGCTGGGCAATAAGTAACCCCGTACCAGCCCAGCACCTGTCACAGTGGCCGTGTGCAACTCCAGAGCTGGTTAAGGTCCAACCCCTCTCAAAAAGATAGAWTCAAGTACCGAAGCTGTGCGTTCAGATGAGCTTGATTATTTCAAGTCTGTACCTGTCAACCCCACCCACAAGTCTGGACTCCCAACTGGAGAGGAAACCCGAACTGCCCCTGATAGACCCACAAGGCAAACCCATGKATACCATGGGTATAGACCTGGTCACCAGGAGGTCATTAACAAACCCCTCCCTCAGAGATGGTTTGAGTGGCTCTGGTAACACACGTCCAGGCAGGAAGCATTTAGCTCGTTTCCTCTTGTGTGTTGTTTGTTTTGCTTAAATGACTCATTGTATCATATTTCTCTCTCCCTCTCTTTTCTTCTTAATTTTTATTGTCAATGCGTTAAACATGAGTTGAAACTGTATCATGCTGTCTCTCCCCCCCCCCCCCCATTTCTTGAGAAAGTGTTCAGCCTCTCTGGGCGGTACACAATAATTTCCATTTGTGTGCTTGTGCGTTGTGCAGTGTGTCTGCAGGGAGGTTTGAGAAAGTGTCAGAACTGAAGAGATGAGTTTTGAAGAAGAGAGACCCTGAAGGAGATCAGACCGTGATTCCAGAGAAGGTTTCAGTTTCTTTCTGTCAGACTAACTGCACACCTTGTGAGTATTAACCTACTGAAACTAACACGTTTAAATCACTGTTAAACTTTTAGATATTAGCTTAGAATGATGTTTTGTGTTTATGCTTCTGTTTATTTTATGTCATTTTAAAAAATGTAGCCATTTTCCTCTTTTTACAAGCAGCAGCAGCAACATTAATCTTTCTGAAGAACTTGTCAGGTTATGCTAAGTTTTATCTGTGTGTRTGGCGTTTATTTCTCAAGTCTTAAYTCATGTTCAGACATGCATTTACTGGAGATTTTCCAAGCATTGTCTTTAAAAAAGCTGACTCCACACGTGCAATGCATTTGAAATAACACATAAAGTCTCTGTTAGGAAACGACTGTAAAAACAAAAATAGAATCGTGTTTAAAAGGTATGTAAACATGTCACAAAGGGACGTATTTAAGGAGATGGTTATCTTTTAATTAACTGTCTCACGTGTGTAACCAGTTGCACAAGTCTTTTAGAAGGTAACTCTGGTAGAAATACAAAAAGATCAACCTTAAAAGCTGAGCTGAAATGTTTTCACAATTTAAAATATACATTTTTTAACAACAGCTCCATTAGCACACAGACAAAAAACAGCAAGTGCAATAAATCAGAAGTGAAATGTACTTCGTTAGCCTCTGCTGTGACATTTAGATGTTTTCTAAAAAGGAAACTAGAGGATCCTGTAGATAAAACTCTAAATGCTGTTGCATCATTGGTTCACGTTTGACAGTAGATACTGTAATCACACTTCACTGGGTGTAGGCGGTAGGGTCTAAGATTGGATAAAATATGAATTATTAAAGTCATGACTATAATTACCTGGAGACACCTCTCCCTTTTATTTTTGAAAAGAAAAAAAACTGACAAATCAATGATTTGTTGTTCATCAGTCTCAATGTACGTTACCCTAAAAATGATTGAGTTCTTTGCATTAGATGAATCCCATGCACAAACAGATGTTGAATTACATTTGGTACACTCTTCATGAACCATTTATTTATAGATTAATATAATAACAAGCTATTGCAGATATGTAATGATAGAAAGAATGTTTCAGGGAAAAAAAATGAATGAGGTCATGACAGAAAATGACCAAATCAATAATAATACAGCAGCTCTAATGTAGCCATTTGATCCAGATAAGTTTTAAAGATGCAGAAATGGAAATGAGCAGAAAATTTTATATGAACATAAAACAAAACACATAAAATGATATTTTGAGGCAAAAAGGTTTTAAGGATGTTAATTTTAGGAGGGAAGTTCTACGCTGCATGATATTCAGATTGAGACTGGGRACAATTTTAATTAGTTTTACCAAAACTCATCAGAAGAGAGATGAATCTACTCTGAGCACTTTTCTGTCACAAGAAAAAATGTGTGTTTCGATCACCATTCGGTTTCCTGCTCTGTACCAGAGRGAGCTCAGCTGCTGAGGGGGATTGCTGCGTGTTGTTGCCCCTCAGRGAACGCCGTCACTTAGTGGCAGCCAGACACTTGATGACTGTGTGGGTTCTTGGTCCGGTCAGTCAGGACACTGGTGAAGCAGCTGGTGGTGCTCATGGCTGTGTAGTGGTCACCTCGAGGTGGAATAAACCGTCCCACCTGTCTTTGACCCTGGTCTCAGAAGACCTCCCTCAGAGAGACAAAACTCTGTTTCATTTAAACTCAATTTAAGCCACAATGTGTCTTATCAAACATAAAGAGATGTTTTCTTCTTTGTAACCAAGATAATAAACAAAATACTGATGCTCTTTATATTTTTTGATTTATATTTTCTTTGAACTAAAAGTTATCATTTTAAAAATTAACGTTACATAATGAAATGAATGACAACCTATTTTCTTGAATTATAATGTAGAAAAAGAAAAACGCACAAAAAGAATATTGTTCTAATGTTTCTTTATTTGTTTATGCAAATACGTGTTTAATCAACTGTTATTTGACTGTAAGGTGATTGTGTGTTTTTCTGTTTTATTTTTCAATTCAACTAAATTGATCACTATGGTTTAGTTCACTATGTTTTACTATGAAATATAAATGGTTATTTGTGCTTGGATCTTAGACAAATATCTTAAGTTTTATTTTGGTTTAAATAATTCACTTTAGTATTTCATTGACAACCTACGGTAGTTCCTTGTCATTTAGAATTAATTCTGCCAAAATACTGAGAATGGCACAGCCTGAACTGGATGTTTACCAGACGACTACAATTTCTTAGACTAAACTTCATTCTCCACCTGGTACTAACCACTAAACTCGAGGCCACGTCCGTTAGTAACCTTTCCTGTAGTACTAACTCCAGGACAAGCCTCTCAACAGACAGACACCATCTTTGTTTTAAACAAAGAGGAGCTGGTTTTTCCTCCTCAGGAAACCCAGCGTTCAGTGATAAGATCTAAGCTCATGTGCCAATGAGCAGATCTTTGTCACAGGCTCACGATACCACCAATCGTGACCAAAACAACCAGTTTTAAGACTCCACTGAGTTTTGTTTGAAAACTTCAGTGAGACATCTTTTATTTTGAAAGAGGACCCTATCAGTTTTGACTCTCCGTTCGAACTGGCAGACAACAGCAGACGCTGAAACATCAAACTACTTGAAGTGTTTCTGGGGAGTAAGCTGAACCTGATGGGAGCTCTTGCTGACCTGGCTGAGAACTTCCTCAACGCCTGACCTGACGGTGAAGTCGTCTAAAAGGTAGAGGCTTTTGATAAGCRTACCAGTGTCCAGCTTAATCAAGTGGGAGAGGCTTGTGCCTATCCTGGGTCCTCACATGTTGATAAAATAAAAAGTTAGGGTTAACCCTTCTTTCTCTCCATTTCTTAACCTCAACTTATGCCCTGTCAAAACCTTAAGAAAAGTGCCGCAAACGAAGGTTTATTTAAGACCTTGAGCCTGGAGTTTGTTGTTCCTGATAAAGTTGTCAAAGTAATGATAATTAACTCGAACATGTGTTAATTGTTGTTGTTTTCAACTCTGAAAATTTCATTATCCTCAGTAAGTTGTACTTTAGTGATTTATTCGATTCTGTAAATAAATGATTGTTTATTATTAGATCAACTAAAGTCACTGTCTCACGTTCACTTATTGTGTGGTTTCTCTCATATTTACACAGAGTTGTTCTTCCTTAAACAGAAGAACCCGTGAATTTCCTCATAATKTCTGTTATGAGAAGAGTRGGTTGTACCCCTATAGCTGCTCACAGGGGAGCCTGCGTCTCCGGGGGTTGGTTGGTCCCATCTTCTTGTTGAGCAAAGTGAGCTGAAGCAGAGTGTTGAGTTACAATTAGCGTACWTTTACTTTATAATGAAAATTCAAACCTGGGTCAGATCGGTTCTCTGACTTTATTATAAGTTCCGAAAGAACGAGATCACAGATACAAGCGGCTGAAATGAATGTCCTCTGCAGGGTGTCTGGGCTCTCCCTAGAGTGAGAAGCTCCATCATCAGGGAGTTACAGAGTAGAGCCGCTGCTCCTCCACATCGAGAGGACCCAGCTGAGGGGCCTCAGCATCTGGTTAGGATGCCTCCTGGACGCCTCCCTGGTGAGGTGTTCTGGGCACGTCCCACTGGGAGGAGACCCAGAGGAAGACCCAGGACACGCTGGAGGGACTATTTTTCTCAGCTGGCCTGGGAACACCTTGGGATTCCCCCAGAGGAGCTGGTCCAAGTGGCTGGGGAGAGGGAAGTCTGGATTTTTCTTCTTAGGCTGCTGCCCCCRCGACCCGATCCCRGATAAGTGGAAGAAAAAGGACAGACCTATTTTTTTTTTTTACTAAACTTTAAACTTTAACCTTAACTGAGGCAACACAAGCATGCAAAGTAGATCTGCACATGGTTCCTGCTCCTTCCTGTCTGTTGACCAATAGGAACGGAGCTGACCCAAGAAGCCCCGCCCACCTTATTTGCATAGTAAGACAGAAATGCATAAGCAAAATGATATGAAAACAGTGAATTAGAAGGAGAGGTCCAGCTTGTTCAGCTGGAAGATGAGGCTTGGAGGGGTGCAGGATGAGGAGGTGACGTGGAGGAGAAGACTAAGAGCGAGAGGACAAAAGAGGTATGTGCCTTGGTTTTAAAAGTTCTGGGAGGCGGGGCTTCTGTGTTAGTTAACCCAATCACAATATTATATGTCACAGAGAGGTGGTGACTTTAAAGTCCCTTTAACCAATGACTGTGCCAGGCCTCATCTTTCTAAACATAGACAAAGAAAATGGGCGTACCTATATTTAAAATGTCTTTGCATATTAATTARAGGTGGGATTTGATTTTAAAAACACGGTTTGCCTCAAATAACTAAGATAAGGAACTAAAACCATATTTAAAAAAAATACACCATTTATGAATACTGTATTTTAAGTTTTTCAAGACGAAACATACAAACAGTAGCTTAGCTGTTTAACCTTTTTGACCAATAGATAATAAAGAATAAGCCTATTTTATCAAAGAGAAAGTTGTTACAATCATTAAAGATCAAACATCCTGTTTTCTAATTTGCTAAAATAAAGGTAAACAAGAAAACATAAAGAAAACAGCTATTAAATCATGCAAAGAATAAACATCTTGGGTTAAATGTGAAACACGAACTGGTCGGCACACAAAATAAAATTTAAAAAGGAAAGTTTGTTGGTGACATGATTAAAATGAATATTCAGGTGGACTCAGATGCCCATCTTGAATCTGAAAGTAAAACATTGTAATTGCATTTCTTTTGCAGATATTTAACAGACATTTTGATACAGCAGAACGAAGTGTTTTTCTCATTTTTTTTTTAAGAAAGGCATGTTTTTGACCTCCTGGGGGGAGAAAACAGTCTTGAGAGAGTGTAGTTCTCAGAATGTTATTCACAGGAATAAACACTCTGACACTTTCAGGTCTGGTAAGGAGCCTGCGGTTTAGATTTAGAAGAAACAAAAGTGTACTTGGTGTCATCTCATGCCTGTGCTCTTTCATTGATACTGATCAGAAGAGGTTGCGGGGTTTGAGACCTGTTTTTTTTTTTTTTAATAACAGAGTTCCATTTGCTGTTTGGAAGAAGAAATGTTTTTTGTTCCTTTGGAAGGCAGAAGAGTTGGCAACTGTTCTGAGACCCAGCTCTGAGCRATTCTGATACAGAAGCGTTTATTTTGCTAATGTCACAAAAAAATTCAGCTCTTGACAACTAAATATAGCTGACGGAWGGTGGACCCTACATGGGTGTTTATTCTGAACAAAGCTCTCTGCACTTTAAATCGCTCAAAGTGACAGCAGAAGACAGGCAGAGATACAGAAATACTTTTTTTTATTCTGAGAAAATATAGCATGAAGGTATTTTATTCTTCCTGTTGACAATTTTAAAGACCTTATCAATAACAGCCCTTTTTCTGGAAAAAAGTCCTTCCATTTCAAATTTATATATAT